CGCCGGCGCACGCTCGTCGCGGACGTCGGCGCGCTGCACCGCGCCCCCGCGGTGTGGGGCGTCGACGCGGACGTGTACGACCCCATGCGCCACCACCCCGCCCGGCGCACGCTCGCGCAGGCCCAGGCGTTCATGGGCTTCGGCGTCGGGAGACTCAAGTGCGTCGCGAGCATGTGGGCGCCGCAGGCCGCGGGCCTGATCGTCGCGGCCGTGTGCGCTGCGCTGGAGGACGGGCTCTCGATCCGGGAAGGGCAGAAGCTCGGCGGGAGGGAGGGCTGGGCGGGGTGGCAGGTGGAGCCTTCTCAGCGTAGCCGTCAGGGTGCTGTGTAGATCATTGTATAGTTTTGTCGAAACAGACGTACACGTAAATGTGGCTAGATGTAGGTAGCAGTAAAGAGATGGCTTCCAATGTACAGGTGAAATATGCCTTCTTGGCTACATAACAAAAGAAACGCCCTGGGAGAAGAGTACAAGACAGTCCTAGCGATGCCGGAGCTTCCCCAGTATCTGCTGCGCAAAATTCATGCGAGGGTCTCGTGAGGGGGCCGGTGCAGGCTCCTCACGGCGTCCAGACGCACCGCGCGAGCTCCCCGCTTCGCCCAGCCTCTGCCTCTCCGCCTCCGCGCGCAGCAAGTCCGCCGCGCGCGAGTTGTCCGGCGGGTAATACACCGAGCTCTGCTCCTCCGACCACGACGTCTCTGGCTCGCGCTCCAGCTCAGAGGAGCCCGCCGAGCCCTCGTCCTCTTCCCCGTCCTCGTCGTCGTCGCAGTACCCCGAACGCGAGAGCGCCTCCTCCTCCTTCACGAGCCGCAGCGCGACCCGCTGCGCCGTCGTGGAGACGTTGTTCGTCATCTCGCGGAGCCAGCGGTCGAGGAGGTCGAGCTTGCCGACCGCGCGGAACGCGTGGCGCACGACGTCCGGCGCAAACCCGGACTGCGCGGCCTTCTGCTGCAGCGTGACGTCGAGCCCGACCTTGACCATCGCGCGCTGGTCCTGCTCCGAGAGCGGGATGCCGTCGACGACCATGCTGGAGCGGCGGGAGCTGGCCCGCTTGGGCGGGCGAGAGATTGCGGCGGGGAGAGAGTGGCGGGGCCACATCCCAGCGCGCCTGGAAACGAGGGGCCGGCCGGCGTCGACGAAGGTATGTCGCCGCATCATCGACGGCTCAGCTTCTGGTGCTGGCGGATCGAATGCCCTTCCTTTGCCCTTGAGCACCTCGGGTCGGAACGACGTCTCTGGCGCATGTCTGGACGCCCGCCGAGTGACCGGGGGCTCTGGGGGAGGGGGCATACTTCGTCTCACGGCACTCTTCTGGCGGGACCGAGGCTGCAAGTCCTCGACTTCCTCAGGCAGAATCTCGGTGGGCGCCACAGATTCCACTCTCTTTGCAGGCGACACAGACACCCCAGATCGCGAAGATGACGCCACGGTGACTTCTTCCTCCACCTCCACCTCTTCCATGTCTTCGCCTTCCACCCTCTGACTCGGCTCGGCAAACGGGTTGTACTGTGATCCGACAGGAGCCAACGCGGGTTCTGGCTCCGGGACAGGCCTGACTACCGACGCTTCCGCGGGTGCTGCAGCCTTCGCAGCCCTTTTGCCCCTCTTCGGCGGCCACTCGACCGCAACCGTCGGCAGCACCGTGCCCGAGGGGTCCTCCCCCAGTCGCGGCAGCTCATGGACCCCGCTGATGCGCCGGCCGTTCTTGAACACCTCCCCCGGACGTCCCGCGTCGGCGAGCACTGTGTTGAAGAAGCCCTCCCGATACGTGAGCAGGGCAGCACGCTTGGTAGGTCGCGGCGTGCTCGTTGCAGCCTCCTCTTCGAAATCGGTGAAGATTTCCTCGTGGCGGCGTTTGCGTAGCACTGTGCGTGAGGGAAGGGGTGGAGACAGAGGAGCGGGAGCCGGGGCCTGGGAGGGTTGTCTGGGAGGGTCTGCAGGTAGTGGTTCGTGATTGGGGCGTGTTGGAGAGCCTAGGCTGTCGCTCGTAGGTGGTGTCGGTGCTTGCGTGAGCTTCTGAGGAGCTGCAGACTGAGGTTTCTTTCTGCGATTCCGCTTACGAACCTGCGGGCTGTCGGGTCTACGAGAGTGAGTCAAGGCTCACAGTGTGAATAAGACGGTGCGTACTGGGGGGAGGGGTCCAGTTCATCGACGTCTTCGTCTTCCTCAGCCTCTGTCTCATTGTGGTCTTGAGGTAGAGTCGCCCATAACGGCTGTTTGGCGACGTCGAGCAGCTCTTGCGTATCCCTTACATCTTGGGCCTCTGGTTCACGAGGATCTGACTGCGCAGAGTCGTTCTGAACCATCGGCTGTTCTTCGCGAACAGACGTCTGAGCATGTTGATCTTCTTCCATCGGGCCAGCTTCATCGTCTTCGACCCCAGGATCGCGCGCAATTTCTTCAGCATAGTCGTCAGCTTCTTCTTCCGGAGATTCTAACAGGACAGGGAGTTCTTCGTCCTCTCGTTGTCGCTGTTTCTGGAGCTCTTCTTCTTCTTCTTCTTCCTCTTCTGCATTCCCCTCGTGAGGCAATACACGGTGTTTCTCTTGAGCCCTCTCGCTATGCCTTGGTACGATGTCCTGCTCCTCTGCTCTGCCGTCTCTGCGAGTCTCCTGTGATACCGGCGTGTGCTTAGTGTTAGGAGGCTTCACAGGGGCTGATGTTTGTTTCGATGTGCTAGCGACCTTGTCATTTTGAGATGAAGCCCCGGGCTGAGACCGCGGCGAATCCTCGACGGCAGAAAGCCCAGGGACTTTGGCCCAAATGTCGTGGCGAGGGTGTTTGTCGGTGTGGTCGCGTGGATCTACGGGATCGATACCATGATTCTGCTGATACTTCTCAATGGCACGGTCAAGTCTTGTGGTGTTCTTCCGGTAGCGTTCGCGCCAGCTGTCGGCGGGGTGTCGCCTCGCCCATGGCCACAGCGTAGTCTAGGTAGAAAGGTTAGGAGTTTCAGCTTACAGTCAAATGCAAGCAGTGACGCACATCAGACATAAGGCGTTCGTACAAAGCAGCACTCTTTCGGCCTTTCTGCGCAGGGTGCTCGATGGCGAGCCACTGTATCAAGTTCGCGTCGTCCTTGGGGGTAAAGGGTGTACGCTGGGTGCTACGCGGTGTTGACGGAACGGCAGAACTCTGCTGCTTCTTCCGCTGTGAAGACGAAACTGGCTTCAGGGGCCCATGCTTTCCGTCTGCCTCTGCCCAGCGCTGCTGGAACTCCTGTGCCTTCGTGTCGACAGCCAGTTTGTACCGACGGTAGAACTCGAGCCATTGCTCTGCTGTGTACATCTTCCTCTGTGGCCATGGGTCCTCGAACTTCTGAGTTGCACTTGGCGGGGCAGCGATCCGCGTTCGCAGAAATCGCACGTCGTTGTTGGTGAGCCGCTCATAGATATCCAGGTCGTCCCGGAACGCTCCATCTGGATCGTATCTCGCCAAGAACTGCGACAAGAACTTGTAGCTTTTCTGGCTTTGGACAACAGCGTCGTATGTTACCAGAGTTTAGTGCATCAAACTGCCAAACCGATGCTTACTCGTGAACCTCGTCTTTAGACATTTCTGCGCAGACCTCCTTGCTCTATGTGCACAAATATCATACAAATTTTGTTCCTAGTGCTGGTGACGCGAAAATGAGAGGAGGATGAGAGGCCTAAGAAGTAGGTCGGAGAAGCAAGTGAGGAAGGCGCGTCACAAACGCGACATGGCCAACGCGCCCACGTGTACTTTGCGCGCCTAATTATTGTACAGCAAGAAACGTTTTTGTACCTAATACATATATACGCTTGGATGCACATACATGCGACCTAAAGCTCCAACTATGTAGTTTTTTTTACCGTTTATATTTATGAATATTTACGAACAACCCCGTAAACCGGCGTAAACAGTTTATAGACAGTAACCTAAACAGTATCGCCTAAAATACTGGTGAAGGGCTAATTCATGGCTTCGTAGTAGACCAATCTGCTGTTTTAGCATTTCT